GGTCCTCCTTCCTCCCTTTTTTGAAGATTGGAACCACATTGGCCCTCTTCCAGTCCTCCGGCACCTCTCCAGTGCACCACGAGTGCTCGTAAAGCCGTGCCAGGGGACCTGCAATGACCTCGGCCAGTTTCTTTAGAACTCTAGGGTGGAGATCATCCGGACCGGCTGACTTGAATACGTCCAGCCCCTCCAGAAGCTCCCTTACTAAGTCCTCGCTAACCCTTGGCCCAGGTGTGCCTCCCCCAGGGCCCGAAAGGGGCCCGGCTGGGAGGTTGCTGTTCTGGTCCCTACTTAGGAAGATGGAGGCAAAGAAATCGTTAAACATGTTAGCTTTGTCAAGAATGCATTTTGGTTTCATTAGGAATCAGCATGGCAATAAATATGCTAATAATAAATTCTTGAACAAAAAAATTAATGCTTACATTGCTACTTGGCTGTACTTGTGAGTTGCCCTCTACTCCAGTGGTCTCCAACCTTTTTAAGTAGGAGATCACTTTTTGAATCAAAAAGCAACCCAGGATCAGGGGCAGGTCCTACACAGCTGGGGTGGGGTGTGTGTTGGAGCCATGAGCGGCTTGTCCAGGGGTTGCTTGGTGTGGGGAGGGGGTGGTGGCTCCCGCTGCTACACACACGCTGGGAGGGTGTGGGGGCCATGTGCCTGGGATCTGTGTGGGGTGGTCTGGGCTGGGGCCAGGGCAGCGCTGGGCTCTTCCTGGAGCAGGAGTTAGGCCACACTGCACTCAGAGTGGGCAGCGGTGGCACTGGGAGAGGGGGTTGAGGGTGCTATGGGAAATTTTTGGTTGGCTGCAGCCCCACTACATAGCTCCGTCCTAACGTTACCACCACTCCAGGCACAGCCCAGCCCAGCCCCCTGCTGGGAAGAGCCCAATGCCACCCCAGCAGTAACCCACCCTCACTCTGTGCAGATCCAGGTGCACATGCCCCCCATGCCCTCCTGGGTTATGTGCCCCCCCTGTGGTCCCCAACCAAACTGCTCATGGCTTTGTCCCACACCCTGCCTCAGCTGTGCAGCGCCTGCCCCAGTCCCACCCCCTCCCCCACTGCTGCATGCATGCCCCTCCCCACCTTTGCTGCAGCCACTGACACTGACCCACATTTGGTGGGGGGCACATGCCCTCTCATTTGTGCACAGGGTGGAGGGGACTGCTGCATGCTGGGCTTGGTGCACCAAGCTCTGGTGCAGCTGGCCCAGGAGCGGCCCAACACCATGTGAGTCCCGCTGTCAGGC